AAGACTTCAACATTGATCTTGGCAACCTGCAACCCTCATTTTAGATGGGAAGAAAAACTACTGCTCTTTTCGGCCCACACAGAAGCTGTAATGAATTTCTTATAATCAATGTATTGATGAAGAAACTAAAAATTATCGTGCACTTGTGTAAATTTTTTGTCGCTCCATATGATAAATGTCATGTAATCTGTTTTCTGAACAATGAACAAGACTCTTAATGTTGTTTCCTGAAAAGTTACTTTTGCTTCTAAATCTTTAGGTCATCTACTTGGAACCCGGCCAGGATTCTGGGATTGAAGTGAGCAACGGCTTACAGGTTAATATTAAGGCTACTGCAGGGCCGGTTCTTGGACCTCCTTGGCAGCGACCCGAGAATGGGTAGACTTGATTATGCCATTATCTTTCTTCTCCTTTCCACTCCATGACAATGATAACTTTTACTTAGTTTGCAGTTAACTCTTTTAATAATGTGCTCCAGGTATCTTGTCACTTCTCCAAAAGGTGCTCTTACTCTCTACTACGAGCCCCACTGTGTCTATAACAAGACCTTCTTAGAAAAATACAAGGCAGACATTGTTATTACTCCTGTCATAAAGCAACTTCTACCAAACTTTACATTGGTTTCCGGACAAGAAGATGCAGTTCAACTTGCAAAACTTCTTTCTGCAAGGTATGTAATTTTGAAATCTAAAGCCAGCTTGTGCTAACACAATTTTTTTTATTAGAGGTGAAGTTGAAAAATCCTCATGTTAAGAGAGGGAAAATTGAAAAATAACGTGTGCCTGAATTCATTTTCTCAGTTTCTCCAGAAACAAAGAAATGCATGCAATAATGTTTCTAAGTAAACATCTGACATTCTGCTTTTCTTTTTAGGTTTGTTGTGCCGATGAAGAATGGTGACCTCGACAGCAAAGGGTTTCTTGCTAGTATTGTTGAATCTGAAGGAACAATGGAATCATTCAAGGTACTCTACTATAACTTCATCATATGCACATTTAGCAGTCTCTTAGCTGCCTTATCCTTTACACTTCATTACAACAATCAAGGGTGGTCTAGTTACAGGACAGTTGGTAATTTAACTTAGACTGCAGGACTAATATGATAAAAGAAATTACAAAAAATGATTTTCTTTACTTATTCAATCTTACCTTTTTTGTTTGTTTAGTCCTTTCTGCGTTTCTTTATACATAACAAAGAATTTTTTTGTAAATATCAGTGAAAAGAAGTCAAAAGTGCGCAGCAAGACCTCTAAAACCAACAAACAGACTGAGAAATAAAATCTCCTGCTGGTGCAGAATTATTGGTTTGCAACTTGCGTAAAAATCATAATAAGAGTCTGGAGGCAAAATAAAAACTTCATTTTGAAGGCTGTAATAATCTTCTGCAGCTAAACAATGCCTATTCCATCTTGTCCATTTGTCGGGAACAGATGGTAAGCTGCAGTCTGTACAATTGGCCTTGTCAGTAACCAATATTAAGATCAAGAGAACTTGAATAAAGTCCCTGAGATGACACTAGATGATAAAATCAAGGATTTTTATTGCTAGAATGTGTTCATTCTGCAATACTGCCGAAAAGGATGAATTTAGAGCAGTCTATATTTTACTGCTGTCTGTTAAATCCAGTTTACTATTCAGTACACAAAGTTAGTTATAACCTCTCTTGTAGATCCAAATCTTTACACGGATAGTTGTATAATTTTGGTTTCGATGGGGTTTACTAATAACTAGCCGCAGTTGGATTAACAGGTCTCCCTTATTTGTGTCCGCATAAAGAAAACTATGCTTTATTGATTCGTTGAACTTTAAAGAATTGTTACTTATGCTACTTATTGATTAGTTTTCTGAATATATATATATATATATATTTGGCTTGCGACTTGTTTCTTTGTGATGCAGGAACTATTGTCAAAGGAACTACCAGATGCAAAGGTACTTGAACCTGTTCCCGGAGAACCACTGGATATTTCAATAGCTGTACAGGGACAATGAAACGAGAAATGTTTATTTGAATACAATGCAATACTTGCATACCCAACAATACATGAGATTTTAATTAAGCAAGGCAATCTTGGAGTCATGTTTTGGGCCTAAAGCTCATTGAGAATAGAACAAGATGCTTTGATAGTTTGACACCCTAGAAGGGGATAAATCTAGAGGAATTTTCAGAAACAATTACAGTTTAGTGGCTATTAATGTGCTATAGCTATAATATCCATATTTACTGGTCGTAGCTACAATTTCGTTGCTACTGTGATGTATTTCATGTATTCGCGCGACTATATTTATAAATACAGTGATGTATACACCTAAAATAGGAATTACAGTTGTTTAACAGCTTGTTTGGATGGTTGTTCCTCGTTGTATTGTATTGTATTGTTATCCCGAAACAATGTTTGTTTTGATTGTTTCATTAAAATTGGTTGTATTGTATTGTTAAATCCATTGTTCCGGAACAATGAAAAGTCTCCTTTTTTTAAACAACCGATTTGGTGTGGTGGGATTGTTTCCTATTTTTCTTTCCAATTATGCCCTAACTTATTACTCCATAATTCTATTTTACCCTTTATCTTTTTTCTATTTTAACTCCAAATCTCCAACTTATAACCTACTTTGTTTTTTTCCAGACCAATGTTAAAGGTGTTTTGTTGCCTCCTGTTTTATTTTTTCTCCTAATTTGCTTGTAACTCAATTCTAATTAGTTGTGCTCTTTTGTTTTGCCTTTTTATATCTCGTTTCTTTGTTCTGCTTCCTTATTGTGTTTTGCCTTCTTCTGTTTTGTTTTTTAAAATTATTTTTATACATAATTTTGATAAATTTAATATTTAAATAATTGAGAGTATTTTAGTAAACTTATCAGTTACAGTACAGTACGATACAGTCAAACCAAATAACAAAATATTATTTAACAATAACAAACAATACAATCTATCCAAACATTGTATTCATAAAACGATACGGTACAATACGATACAATACAATACAATACATTATAAAACGATAGGGAACAATGATCCAAACAGAGTGTTAATCCACCTCAACCAGATAAAACTTATTCAATGATTATCGCTAGCTGTTTTTGGTCCCAAATCTTTGGGGTTTAGCGCATCAAAAGTATGAGACAATGAAGGAAAATTCTTCTGCCCCAAAATAGGGTTTTAAGTGAATAGAAACAAGTCATTGGTACGTGAAGAAAATGGCACCATGGGCAAAGAAGACTTTGTAGAAAGACTTGTTCTACGAAGACTTGTTTAATGAACAAGGAAAATTACTAGTATATTATCTTGGTTTTAATTTATGTGATAACTTTTTTCATTATAAGATGTATGACAATAGACCATTATATGTCATATAGTTTTCTTTTTACTCGATTAAACCCTTTTTTGGGTCGGAGGAATTTATTTTCGTCGTTGATGTGATAGTCGTTTCACACACATTTGATACTTCAAATTTTTCCGACGCTGTCATCTTCTTATTGGAAATTTCAAAAGCATTGTTTTTGGACACTGATAGAGTACCTTTTATAATACATTTTATCCAAAAATTGAGGCATTTGTTTTTGGCTAATTTGATGGTTAGAAAATATTTTACGTTTTAATCTCTTTAGAGTTGAGAGATCATTATTTTTCATGGAATTAACTAAAGAATTACCTCCAAGTATGGGTAATTTTATTTACTAAAAAAATGTTAATTTTTCCTCCAATTAAAGAATATATAAAATGATCACTACAAACTAAAAGGAGCTAAAGGTGGTTTTCACTTCATCAATTGGGACGGTGTTAAATGGCCCCAAACAAGGACACTTAATAAAGTTGTACTCCGGAGAAGACCAAAAAAATAAAAAAAATAAAGTTGTACTCCGGAGAAGACTTGACTTAGCAAGAAATTGAGGTTCGTCAATTATAATCTTTTGTATAGTTTTTAAAAGGACAAAATAATTTAAAATCAACAAGTCTTTGAATTTTACGGTCAATATCTTTCTAGACAATGTATTCTTCAACTATAATTCTAAATGCTATATATACGTATGCCTGGTCTAAACCTTTGCACATCATGAAGCTGTTAGCAATAACATATTGTTTTTTCATTTTGACAAACACCAAGTTTAGTTTTTGTATTGGCATTTGCAGAGAAAATGAGCAACGAGCATTGGAGAGTCTGAAGGTAGTAATTTTATTGGCCCGTTTCCTGAAGGTCCTGTTAATATTACTTCTCTCACTACCTTCAAGGCAGGTTACAACCATTTCAATTGTCTTTTACCCAGATGGTTGTTTGATCTTAATAATCTTGAATATCTTGAGCTTGGTTCTAGTGGTATTGAAGGTGCGATGCCGAGTGAGGCTGGAAACGTAACAACACTTAAAAATGTTGATCTTTCATTCAACAACCTCAACTCCACTATCCCGAATTGGTTCTATCAATGCAAATATTTGGAATCACTTACACTTAGCGGAAACAATATTGAGGGAGTAGTTCAAAATGCGATTTCAAATTTGAGCTCAATAACTAGCATTGACCTTTCTGGAAATATGCTTTCTTGAAAATTACCAAATGTAATTGGAAAGTTATCGAAATTACATTCGCTTGATCTCTCAGAAAATCTATTCGAGGGAGAAGTATTTGAATTGTTCAACAGTAGGAGTAATTTCCTTCCAGCAGGATTGAGAAATAGTTCTTCTTTGATGCGATTGAATCTTGAAAAAAATAAACTGACTGGAAATCTCCCAGAAAGTCTTAGCCAACTCCCAATGCTAAAAAGTATTGACATCTCTAACAATAGGTTGGAAGGTGTTGTAACAGACAGGGGCGTACGCAGGATTTTTTGTAAGCGGTGTCATCATTAAAAAAATAAAGTATTTCTTTGCATCTAACAATTATCTGACTTTAAAAGTGAGTCAAAACTGGATTCTGCCTTTTCAAGCTATCCATATTGAAATAGGTGGCTGGAATATAGGTCCTCTGTTTCCTAGGTGGCTCCAAACTCAAAAATATATAAAGCATATGGAAATATCAAATGGTGGAATACAAGGTGATGTTCCAACTTGGTTTAGGAACTTATCTTCTCAGATGGAGTTTCTCGATCTTTCTCACCACCAATTTGTTGGACAACTACCACCATGGTTAGGAATGAGGCTTTCAAATTTGATAATCCTTAGCCTTAGATCAAACAAATTCTATGGTGAATTGCCTCCAGAAATTTGTTACCTCAAAGATCTTCAGATCTTAGACCTTGCAAACAATAGTTTCTTTGGAACCATACCAAGGTGTATTAGCAATTTAACAGCAATGGTCACCAGAAGTAAGTTGAGGGACGCTCATCTTGAGTATTCTTCTTTTGGTTATACAGAAATTACGAGAGAAAGCGCAATGGTGGCAACTAAAGGCAACATTTACCAGTATGATAAAACATTGGCATTAGTTACAAGCATGGATATGTCTAACAATAATCTCTTCGGAGATATTCGCGTAAGTTTTACCGGTCTTGTAGCATTGAGAATCTGTAATTTCTCAAAAACCCATCTGACAGGTAGGATCCCAAATGGCATTGGCGACATGAAAGTGTTCGAATCCCTTTATCTTTCAGAAAATCAACTTTCTGGTCAAATCCCGCAAAGCTTATCAAGTTTGTCAACTTTGAGCTTCTTGAATCTATCTTAGTAACAATTTGTCAGGGAAGATACCTGTGGGCACTCAACTTCAAAGCTTTAATTCCTCGAGTTTCCAGGGAAATGAGCTTTGCGGGCTTCCACTCTTGGTGAACTGCAGTTCAGGTGGTCAAATTCCTGATGTTGATACTGAAAAGGATGAGCGTGACGAAGATGAACTGGATTGGTTCTACATTTCAATGTCAATAGGATTTGGTCTTAGCTTTTGGGGAGTATGTTCTTGTTTGCTTTTCAAGAGATCATGGAGACATTCTACACACTGCTCGACGAGACTTTTGACAGAGGAAATGAATTAACAAACAAGCCAATAGAAATAACCAAAAATAAAGAGATGTCGCTGATCCATAGACATCGAAGCGATGTGAGGCACTCAAAACCTCACCTCGGTAGTAAATTGAAGAGTGAAAATGTGAGATTATAACCATCTATGCGTGCCAGCGAGTGTTCAGTGCCACATTGGCTGAGGGGAATGCGTTATGGTATTTGATAGTCTTCCCTCAGGAGCCCTATATCCACATCTTTACAATTTATAACTGTCTTATTAACACATTTTCATTGCCAAACAGAAAAATGAAATAATAGAGCTACTTATGAGGTTCAATTGCAAATAATAGTCGGTATCTTGTTTTTTTCCTATAAACAGCAGTCCACATGCTACAATGGATTAACTTGTAACTATGTCAGTGTATTTAAAGAATAAGCAACGGACTGGAAGGCACCGGAGATTTGGACAAGCCGGGTTGTTACAATTTGTTGATCTGATAACTTAGAAAATTAAACATTCAAACATTTTGAAATGTGTCTTTAATTACTGGTTATTTGCAATGTATAGAAAGCATTGGACAGCCTAAAGAAACAAGCATATAAAAGCTTCTCATTAAGGGCAAAGTTGAAAGTTTAAGTTAAAATATTTTTTTCAAACTTAGAAAGAGATCATTCTTTTTGAAACAGACTAAAAAGGAATTAAGGGAATAATATTTTTCAAATTCAGGAAAAATCCAGCAAATCGTATCCACAACTTTATCATGGTCCTGTTTGGGTCCACATGTACACCTCCCCTATCGATGAAGTGAAAGCCACCCGGGTAGATCCACAAGATCGTGTTTGGTATGATAGTAGTTATTACTTAAAATATTATTTTCAATGAGAATAATATATTGCCGGGAAATCGTTTTCATCAATTGGGGGAAAATAACTTCCCTCGCTTATGGAAAAAAGTTATTTTTCTTACCACTCTCTTAACTCTTTTATATTCACCAACCAATTTCCAATTAAACTTTTTTTCATCAAATCAAACACAAGCTTTCAAATGGAGAAAAGAAAAGAGATAAATAGAAAATGTCATTAACTTCAGAAAATAACATTGAAGGACTTATTGGTGGAACAGAAAGCTAAGCAAACTGAGGTTTAGCGCATCAAAAGCGTGAGATAACCGAGAGAAAATAACTATGCCAGAGTATAAAGAACTGGATTGCCTCAACATTAATCAAATTTGGTGTATCAAAGCTCATATAATGGATGGTTATATGAAATAGTTAAGGATGAAATGTCAATAATATGTTCAGTTATGATCAGCTTCGACACCAGTAGCAAGAAACTTTGAATGAGACAAATGATAGGATCAGTCCTGAATGTGAAATGGTTCCTGCATTTGTGCTACCAAATGCAGAAACAACTGAAGCTGATTTATTCCATTCAGTATTGTACTGATAATGCACAAACTTGTAGAGTCTTAAGTATGGAGCTTGTTACTACCATCTAACAATCGAACTTCTAGACTGCTCTGCACTACTAACTAAGAGAAAAACAAATGCCTGCACAGCTTTCCCTTCTCAACAACTCAGAAAAACCAAATTGAAAACAAAAGAAAAGGATATGTTAGAACTCTTAGCCAATCAATGTGACTATTCCAGCAGCCCACATTTGTATAGCTATACATGATTGATTCCTCTATACAAGTAATCAACAATCATGGTTTTATCTCACTACGAAAATGATTCCTAAACTTACTGCAAAGTGAACAAGTTTCAATATGTCATAGCTCCCAATCAATTTTTTTACGATGAAGAAGCTAGAAGAACAAAGCAAAATCAAGGGAGCCAAGCTGCCATTTCATCTCTGATGTTACTTGTGAAACACAAGACGGGAGGGGTGAATTGTGACCAATTTAAAAACTCAGTTAACTAAAGAGGGAAATAGTCGACTAAAATTTTCAAGCAAGTTCGAACGCAACAAAAGTAAATTGTGCAGAAGTAAAAACACAGAAGTTTTATACTGGTTCAATACCGATGTGGTACCTACATCCAGTTCCCTTGGGTCACAAGGGCTCTCTTTGATCTTCAATATTGAGTCGTTACAACAGTTGTGATTTTAGTTCGTTCACCACTAACTATATTAAGCAACAATGTTCGTCTATGCTTGACACAACTCTTGTTTTGTTTTCTAAACCTTGCTATCTTTTATGACACTTGTAAACTCATGAATACAGTGTTTGTACGAAGAACTAGAAAGATATAGAAACATGTATTAAGTTGCGTAACCTTTTCTTCTGTCTTCCAGCCTTCTTATAGGAATGACTTGAGGTCTTGTAATCTTCTCTTGAACTAGCCGTTGTAGATTGACCATTGGTTGAGGCAAAAATATTGTAACAGGTATGACCCAAGGGTTGCCCCTGAATCCAGCTTACGAGGAAGGCTGAATTCAATGATCTTCTTTCCTTCTTGTGTTCCTGATATATAGGAGTGATTTGCGACACGGCTTGATTGATCCATCATCAAAATCTTCCGATCTCTTTCTCCATAGAGACGAACTGACTTCCCCATATCAGCTGCATCTGATCTCATTTCTTTTTGATAGCATTGCCTCCCCGATTTCCTGCAATCAATTAGAGTAGATTAGATTTGCACTATTGTCATCATTAAAACTTAGGTGTAACAACTTGGTTTAACGATTAATCAACACCTGAAGGCTTCTCAATTATTCAAGATCTAGCATAGTTTCAACGGCATCATGATACGCCCGTTCTGTTTCCTAACCTCTGATGCAAATTAATGCTGATTTCAAGTTCTAAGCTGCCACATGAGGCTGACTCAAAAAGGAAAAGGAAAAAAAAAACACAAACAGATAAAATGAAAAGTTGGAAGATGACAGTTTAATATTCATTCAACTATGCTCTAGAAATTCGGAAAATGAGAACATTGATCAGTATTACCTATCAAATGCAGAGTGGTTAGAAACTCAAAGATCAAAATGATCATAGCAATACCTGATGAAAAAGAACTGCGTTTGGAGATCTTCATCCATATATTTTGCTTTCCAAGCTTAATCAATCGTCCTTCTCAAAAAGAAAGATTGAGATTGCATGTTTCGGACCATTCATGCTCTTTCTTGTGATTCCATGAACAACAAGCAGAAGACTGTAAATTGAAATCATTCCGAGTAGCAAACATTTCCTTGCCTTTCCAACTGTACTCGAACTTTTGCTTCTTCAAACGACTAAAATAGAAGAACAGGAGTATAGGAATGAACAACCCTCATCGTTGTTGTACATCCAGCGTATGGGGAAACAAATAAACGTTATTTGACAGGAAAAAACAACTAGTAAACAAACAAGGAGAAGCACATAGAAAGGATATAACAGGCAATCCAAATGTTAATCCAGTCTCACCTTTGCGCAGACATATATATGCATACTGAAGTGAAGAAGTGCAACTCTCCTTGTGTCCCAAGGCAGATGGCCACCACTTTACAACGATCCGCCACGATCTGAGTGTGGGAGAGGATATGCACCAGATTTGACCAATCCACCAAGTGTGCATTGACTACAACAATTACAAACAAGTTACAGGCTGGCCAGGTTTTTGGTTTCTACTCTTGCTTTTATATATGCATAAACAAACAAAGAATTGAACACTTTTCTATTAGATGAGCTATACTCAAAGGAATAAATGCTAGATATTTAAAAGTTTATATTGTTTTTGTTCAAAACTTTCGTGTTCCACCGGACACATAAGACTCGAGATTCAAAACGCATCATTTGGAACACATATCTCCAAACAATGAAGTAGAAGAAGTATAGGAGATATTATTTTAGACAATCTGACTTCCCTGCTCATCCTTTCAACTACACTGCCAATGGATGATAAATTGCATTAGTGTTAACTATCAAAAAGCAGTTGTAACAAGCAATTTGAAAATCATGATATATTTTTACTTTTCTTTTGGATCAGTGAAAATCAATAGATCTATTACTACTTAAAAGAACAAGATTATTTTGCAAAATCTCTTCAAGCAGTTTTTCTACGGGGATAAGGCAAAAATGTACCTACTGAAAATCTTGCACAATAATTTCTGAGAATGCCACCACGACATCCCTTTCATCAACTGAGCTACATTCAATCCGTGTACTGAAAAGGGGAAAGAACAACAATACATGAACTGCTATAGAGATGAAAGTTCAATCAATACATGAACTGTAAGATGAAGAGTGAGATATTTTTCAGAAGAATACATGAATTGCAATTATATCTGCTAACTACTTTCTAGAGCAAATTATTAATCTTATTTATAATAAGTTTTTGTCATAATGTATAAAGATTTCTGTAGTTGCAACATATAAGTAACTCTTTTGACAGCTAACCTTAAATTTCATTGCGAGCAAAGATGCTTCCTCGGCTTCACAGTGCAAATAGACGCTACACACTGCTCAACAAATTAAAGATATAATGAATAAAAGGAATTAACACGCAAGCAAAGCTAAGTAGTAAAAACTTGAAAAACGACTACTGATAGAGAGAACAACTTACATTCAATCCGCATACTGGAAATTTGAGCAATTTCTAGCCAGTATTCCCCCTTTGAGAAGTGGATTGGATACTCGAAGAATTGTTGATACTACCTCAGAAAGAGAGGAAAGTAATAGACTAAAAGAACCTTCCATGGTGAAATGACATTGTATCGTTGCCAAATCATTCTCAAAATACAGCAAAGTGACTGATCATACCGTTGTCAAAATCCTGATAAAATAGAAGAAAAAAGAAAAGTTGTTCTTAATTTGCCATTATACCATTCTACAGATGATTTTTCTCAATAATCTTGTTATTGACTATCAATGTTAGACGAGAAGTAAAAACGATGGATGTGAATATTACCCTCCACCAACTCGAGCGAATTCACCTGCGGAAAAGGGAGAGATTTATGTTTACTTTTATGAGTGACTAAATAAGATGAAAGTTGCATTTAATGGAAAAAAGTTCATGAAGCTAAAATGAAATGCTGTGATCAGAAAACTGAGGCA